GGGAGGGAGAAGGGAAAGGAGAAGAGTTAAGAAAAGAGAGGGAGTAGAGGGAAAGGCAGAGACAAGACACAAAAATAGAGAGAGGGAGACAGGAAGAAAGGCTTAGTTGGTTTTAGGGTGAGTAATAGTCTGAGGGCACACCCTGCAGTTCACTTGAGAGGATATAACCACCTGTATGTTTGAAGAACACGGATTAACTGATTGACCATTACTGTCCAATCTTCAACTGCTCCTTAAGCCTTAAAGCTTTAGAAACTTCTCTGAATTGGATAATCAGAGAAGCTCTCCAAAGCAGAAGTTAATCTCTGAACAGCAGCAATCATGACCAGAGCCATATTATCCCAAGGATCGGGGGAAGACAATTTCAAGAGTGGAGGTGCCTTACCATTAATGGCCCAATTTGCACGACATTGTTTTGCACTCAGAGTTAGAAAGCTCAGTGATGTAGAATGTTGGAACTGGAAGGTATTTTAGACACCGTCTACTCTAACCCCCTGATTTTACAGATGAGGAAACTGAAGCCCAGGGAGGTGACTTGTCCTGGGTCACATATCAAGTTAATGGCACAGCTAGGATTAGAACTCAGGTTGACTCATAGTAGAGGCACAGTGTGATAGAGCACAAGGACTGAAGTCAGAAAGACAAATCTTCCCATAGTTCAAACCTGGCCTCAGACACTTACAAGCTGTGTGACCTTGGGCAAGTCACCTAACCTTGTTTGCCTCAGTTTCCTCATCCATAAAATGAGCTGAAGAAGGAGGAAATGGCAAACCACTCCCAAGAAAACCCCAGATGGGTCGCTAAGAGTCAGATACAACTGAAAAACGACTCAGCAAGAGCACCTAAAGTAGGGTTCTTTCCTCTGTAACAGTTATTTTGTATTTCTTCTATATCCTTTCATATGCTATATCATTCATTTGTTATCTCCCCAGCTGCTTTGTAAGCTCCTTGAAGACATAAATCTTCATTTCCCCTTTTAAAAATTACACACACACATACACACACACACACACACACATACGGTACCTGGTAGCAGAGTCTTCTTATCATAAGGGCTCAACAAATGCTTATTGAAGAAATGATAGATACTTCATTATTCTTACAGACTAATTTGGAAACGTCTACAACTACACTTGCTCACTACCCACCTATTCCTACAACTACATTATCTACTCTCTTCCTCAACCCCTTGCAACTTGACATCCATCCACCCCTACCACTACAGAAATTGTTTTCTCAATGACTTCCAAAAGAATGGCTTTTTTTTTCCAGTCTTCATCCTCTTTGACCTCTCTGCAGTATTTGACCCTGTTGGCCATCTGCTTTAGGATGATTGTTCCTTCCTTGGCTTCATGGGCAACATGCCTCCTTGGTTCTCTTTGTCCCTCTCCAACTGCTCCTCTGGCTCCTCATCCTCTTCCCAACCCTTCCTTTCATCATTTCCTAAGTTTCTGTCCTTGATCCTTTCTCTTCACTCTCCCACTTGATAATCTCATCCACTCCCACAATGTCAACCATTGCCTTTAAAAAGAAAATCCCCAAATTTGTATATCCAGCCCTGACCTCTTTTCTAAGCTGTAGACCCAAGTTTCTAACATCTTGCAGGGCACCTCCACTTTGGTGCCCCTTTGGCACCTCAAATTGGAACTTCATCTCTTTCTCCCTAAAGCTGATTTTCCTTCTGACTTCACTAGTTCTATCAGGAGCACATCAGCCAAGCAGTCTCCTATATTAAAAACACATTAATCTTCTTTATGCATAGCTCTAGATATGGCACTCCTTTGATCAAAAATCTTCAGTGGTCCCTTGCACCAATCAAATAAAGTCCAAATTATCTACGCAGAAGGAAATTAAAGGGGAAGCTAGGCGGCGCAGTGGATAGAGTGCCAGCCCTGGATTTAGGAGGACCTGAGTTCAAATCTGGCCTCAGATACATAACACTTACTAGCTGTGTGACCCTGGGCAAGTCACTTAACCCCATTGCCTAGCCAAAAAAAAAAAAAGGAAATTAAAGATCTTAATAACCCTATACCACTCTAATTTTCTAACTTTGTCCTTTTTTCTTAAGTTATACTCTAACTAAACCGTACTACCCTCTGTCCCTTAATATGCCCTGCTTTCTGCCCTTTGCCCTAAATGCCTTTCTTCATATCATTTGCTATTCCTGGAATGTTTTCCCTCCTCCTTTTCCCTAGTCCAAGTCAAATCAACACGCATTTATTAAGCACTTACTATGTGATAAGCACAGGGAGTGCATATGTGTGTATACTGCCATATATGTATATATACAAACACATGTCTATATATGTATATCATGTTATATATACATGTGTATGTGTATATACACACAAACACATGCATACACACATACACACACATATATAGTCACTGCTCTCAAAGAAATTACTTGCTAATAGAGGAAGACAACATACAAAAAGGAGCTGAGGAATGTGGGCTGGGGAATGTGGGCAGAGAAGGCATCTGTGATGGTCATGGTGGAGAAAGAAGTATAGAGAGACAGGAATGGAGCCCAGAAAGGAATGAAGGTTGTTGAGTTACTATGCATCTTTTAAATTCCAACTCATATGCTACCCCCTCTATGAAGCCTTAACTAGTGCCACCTTAGTGGTGGCACCTTTTCCCCCTTGGCCCATATATAAGATTTTGGGTTTTCCCTCTCTAATGCACAATTCACACATCATTTTCATTATACATTATAGTTTTCTGTATGTATTATGTTCCCTTACTGAACTATAAGATTCATAAAGGTAAGGATCATGTCTTACCTAAGCTTTATATCCCTTAGAAATAGAACTCTGCAAAGCAGCAGGTACTTAATTTTTTAAAAATTAATAGCTCTACTCATTAAAGCTTGATTTTAAAATTATATTTCATTAAGGAATAGGAATGCTATATTATTGATATTTAGCTTATAATCCACTATGTCCTCTGGATCATCTTCTATTTGTCCAAAGTCCTTCTTCATTATCATATGATTAAATAGTTTCCTTTGTCCCCCCCACCAGGTATATTATTCGGTACTTGTCCTTACTGAACTTCCTTCTGTTGGTTCTCAATCCTCTAATTTCCTAGGACCAACCTGAAATCTGATATTATCGTACAAAGTACTATCTCCATCTGCTCCTTCTCTATCATAATATCACTTGAACATTGAGTAAAGATGCACTTCATTCCAATACCATAGCTAATTAAGCTTCCTGCCTCCACCCTTTTGTCATCTTAGTGTCATCTGCACATTAATAAACATGCTCCCAATTCCCTTTTCTAGGTCACTGATAAAAATGTTAAAGAACTATGTCCAGAACCCATCCTTTGTGAACACAAGCTTTTTTCTGTCTCCTCAGGTTGACAGTGACAGTGACTGCTCATGTACACCCCTACCTTATATCATAAGCATGTGTTCTATGATACCACATTCCATTTTGGGGGGGCAGCTGTAGTTGATAGGAAGTTTTTCCAGACATTAAGCCTAAATTTTCCTCTTTGTAATTTTCACTCATTGTTCCTTGTTACACACTCTGGTGCCAAGTAGCACAAGACTAAACCTCCTTCCAAATGATAGCTCTTTGAATGCTTGAAGGCAGTTATAATGTCCTCCCTGAGCCTTTTCTTCTTCAGGCTAAATGTTTCAAGTCCCTTTGACCAGCTCTCATCAAAGTCTTTCAACCTTTGTGGTAGCCCTTTTCTGGACATTCTCTCTTAACTCATCCAAGAACAGATGTTGGCAATCAAGCAGAAGAGCGTGCCCATGCTTGTCCTTGGCCTCACAGGGGAATTCAAGTACTGAACCATAACTTCCTGGGTGGAGGAGGGGGTATTTCCTAATCTTTTAGTCAGAGAAAGGTGATTTCCTGGGCTGCACCAGCTTTGACAGTTATCTTAGGGGTATCCCTAATTTAAGAGTTCCTGAGTTTGAGTAATCAGGCACCAGTCTTTTAGAGGGAAATTCCTTCAATTGTGTGCTTCTTGGAGAAGGAAGAGGATTGCCATCAGGACATTATCATGTAGCTGAAGAACTAAAGCAATAGCCAAGATAAGGGAGTAGAGGGTAGGATGGGAAGAGATCTAGCCCTTGACAAGCCAGTTATTGTCATGAGTTTCTTAGATCCTGAAAATCTAGGGAAAGGTAAATGCCTATTCAACAGCCATCTCCCTTCCCACCCTCAAAGTCAGTTTATCTTCCACAGGAGTCCGAAGGACTATTTAGGAACTTCATGTGTTTCACTCTTGAAGAGTCCTTTATATTTTATGCATTTTCTGTGGGGGTGAAATAAAGGCTGGGATAACCAGTACCTATATTGTACATTAAATGCCTAGGCAGGAGTCGGGTATCCTGTTACCACATTTGGGAAAACAGGAGCTTACCAAAGTTCTATTTAGAGATTTCCCCTCAGAGAACACTAGGTCAGGGCAACAAGCCAAAGAGAAATTGACTCTCTTTGGGTCAAGTCCTGAGGATTAGATCCAGCTTATTTGAGGCTAGAATCTTTTGGGGGGACCTGGGCCACCAGTTATACTTGAGCACAATTATCATGTCCCCTTTGAGTATTCCTTTTTCTGGGCTCAAACTTCCCAGGTCTATGAACCAATGTTCATATGACATGGACTCAAGACTTTTCACCATCCTGGTTGCCCTCCTTTGGATGTTCCTTAGCATATCAATGTCCTTCCCAACTTAGTGCCCCAAACAGAACAGAATGTTTCAGTTGGGGTCTGACTAGGGCACTGTCGCTTCCTTAATCCTTGAAGCTATGTCTCCTAAAATGTAGCCCAAGCTCACATTAGGTTGTTTTTTTGTTTCTGTTTTTGTTTTAAAAAGTGAAGTTTTTATTTAATTCTGTAAAAAAATGTCCATTGTGGGCAGAGGGCATGTGTTCACACAGGGTCTATAGGGCAGATATTTATTTTCCTCCAGCTTTCCTTTTTCCAGATTTCCACTCAGGTCCACAAAAAAGGGTTACAGGTCAGAAATGGAAAGGTTATTGGGAGAGCAAAGGAGGATCAGCAGAGGACATGAGAAGTCCAGAGTCTAGTTTCAGGCCTAGTCGAAGTTGAGTTTCTTTGGCTGGGGGTGCCTCCCCTAGTACCTCAATGTAAACTAGGTCACTGTTGGCATCTGAGTCATTCAGGGTGCTCAGTGTCACATCAGCTTTCTGCTTCTTCAGGGGAGGGCCTCCAGTTTCTGGGACACTAGACCCAGTGGGTGGGAGTACAGGTAGGGCAGGAACCAGAACACTAGATGTTCCCTTCTTAGGCCCCTTCTTGGATGATTCAGTTGGAAGAGGGAGGCCAGAGTCTTCATATACCTTTTGTTTCACCTTAGACTTTATTTGAGCAGCAGTCGGGTCTTTGATGACACAGCTGATGTGATTAAGATCATCCCCATGGGGCAGCTAGGTGGTGCAGTGGATAAAGCACTGGTCCTGGAGTCAGGAGGACCTGAGTTTAAATCCAGCCTCAGACACATAACATTCACCAGCTGTGTGACTCTGGGCAGGTAGCTTAACCCCAATTGCCTCACCCCCCACAAAAAAATAAAGATCATCCCCAAATCGTTTTACCGCAGCCCTCAGCATCTCTATCTCGGTGTCTGTCCACTTGGCACCAGCAGGGGAGGAGTCCAACACTGAATGCAGCTGCACTGTCAGTTCACCAAGCTTTGTGAAGGCAGCACCAGCAGTGGAGAAGATCTCCCCAACCTGGAGGGTGGCAGGTGATGGATCTAACCACTTGGTGGAAGCTGACATCACGGCCCTGGACGCCAGCTCCCGGGGAAGCAGCTGCAGCAGCTGCTGTGGGAGCAAAGAACGGGAGCAGCCCAGCCAACCCACATTAGGTTTTTTAAGCTGCCATATGGCACACTGCTGACTCACATTGAGCTTGCAGTCTACTAAAACATTGGAACACTTTTTTTTCAGACAAACTGCTATCTAACCATGCCCTCCACATCTTGAATTTTTGAGGTTGATTTTTAAAAACTAAATTGCAAAACTTTACATCTATCTCTCCTGATTTTATATTATTAGACCCGGTCCAATGCTCTAGCCTGAGCATACCTTTGTGGTCAACGACTCCGTGGAAATTCCTAGAATCATAGACATAGAGCTGGAAGGGCACTCAGAAGCCATCTGGTCCACTCCTTTCATTTTATAGATGAGCAAACTGAGGCCTAGAGAAGTTAAGTGACTTAGCCAAAGTCATATAAGAGTACCATTCAAACTTATCTCATCTGAATTCCAGAGCCAGTATTGTTATCTAATGTGTTAGCTATCCCTCTTAGCTTTTTGTCATCTGTAAAACTGATAAGAATATCATCTACACCTCCATTCAAATCATTAATAAAAGTATTAATCAGTATAGAGTGAAGGACAAATCCTTGGGGCATTCCACTGGACACCTCTGGAAAGACTGATATCTAATCACTAACTACTACTTTTTAAGTCTGACTTTACAACCAGTTCAGAATTCATCTAAATGTTTTATCATCTAGTCGATGTCTCTCTGTCTTTATACTATACTAGTTTTATACTTTATCAAATATTTTGTTAACATCCAAATAAAGCGCATCTGCGATGTTCCTCTGATCTAATAAGTTAGTAATACCATCAAGAAGGCAATAAACTTAGTTTTGTATGATCTGTTCTCAACAAACCTTGATGCTTCCTTGTAATCACTATTTTCTTTTTCAGATGTTCACTAACATCTTTATTGATCTGTTTTAGAACTTCCCTAAGAATCAAAGTCAAGTCCCCTGGCTTCCAATTTGCAGACTGAATACTTCCTTTTTACGAAAATTGAAATAGCATTTGTCCTTTGCTAGATCTCCAGTATTTCTCTTACTTGTATTGTTATGTGTGCTAGCAACAAACCCCTTGATTACATTTTATTCTGGCCAACACAAAGTCTCTCCCTACAAAGATATGAGAAGGGAATAAATAGGATTTTCCACATGTGATAGTCCACAACCAGGGAGGGTGCTGACAAAAGTTTAACAACCAGCTCTCCAAAAAAAAGTACAGTAAGTTTAATCTACATTATTAACATATTCATCATGACTTTCTTAGATCTAGACAATAAACAAAATGATAAATCATACCCTAATTATAACAGTCGCCGACTTCTGGGGAGGTGAATGTTCACACTGAAAATTTAACACTTAGTTCTTGGAATCTGATTGGATCTGGCTCTAACACACCTCTGTCAGGGTAAACCGCATCTTTAAAACCATACAACTGACAGAAAGGTGCAGAGAATACAAGATCCCACTGTATTTATTGTTTGTTGACTATTACACACCATTTTGGTACAGAAAAACATGTTTTAAATCTCTCCTCCAACAAGGTGTCTCCCATGTATAAATCAAAATCATTCAAGAATTCTTGGATAACTTTGTTCAACACATACGCATGGTACTTGTTTTTTCTAAAGTCCTTGAAATGGGTTTAGGGGGAATGGGATCCCCATATGGGCTAACTGGGAATTTCCTAACCTTAATCCAGGAGTGGGAAACCTGTGGCCTCAAGGCCATATGTGGCCTTCTAGGTCCTTAGGTGTGGCTTTTTGATTGAGTTCAAGTTTTATGGAACAAATCCTTTTATTAAGGGGATTTGTTCTGTGAAGTTTGGATTCAGTCGAAGGGCCACACTTGAGGACCTAGAGGGCCACATGTGGCCTCGATGACGCAGGTTCCCCACCCCTGCAAGTCTTTCCTAGAGACTTGGAATCAATATCAGGCACAAGCAGTCAAAAGAGCAGACTTCATTTTAGCCTCCAACACTGACTGATTTCTAGAAAGCTTCCTTTCACTTGCTAGAAAAATGTGGTAGCTCATTTCTTCTGCTGTAGAATAAAGAGATATTACCCTTCTCCTTTCAGAAAGCGGCTTTTTTGGTTACTGACCTCAGGAGGTGGAAGCCGAGCACTTCACAGAGAGCAGCAGAGCACCAAAGAGCTGAAGACCAGAAGATGGTAGCAGGGAGAAGCGTAGCAATATAGGACTCACTGAGACATTTGGCAAGAACGGCATGCCTGTCAGAGACAATGCTCCCAATGGAGATCTGAGCTACGTTATCTCCAGGTTCAAAGCACTTCATGGGTTAGAACCCATTCAAGACCATAGTTCATAAGTCCTCTTCTATTTGTTAACTTTTCAAAAGCTAGGAAGAGGGCATATCAGTTCAAGCAAAAAAAATTAAACAGCATAGAAAATATAGCAGCAAGAGAGGATGCCTCCCACGTGTACTTGGGAACAACTTTTCCACAAATTGCCACATCAACAGTAGAGAGGGAACATATATGATGAGGGATGATGCATAAAGTCTCACTCCAAGAACATGTGTGACCAGTGCACAGGTGTGAAGAGGCAGAAGCCACATGGCTAAGTATACATTCATAAAGGGCACCCTTGTAGCCTCATCAGCTTATATCTCTGTGACTATAAGGCTGCTGATATTCTCTGGCAAAGCCATTTTGTATCTCTGCTAAGTATATCATCTCCAGCTCAACATCCTGGGCCTGTTGTCTGTTGGAAGAGGTTTCACTCATTTGTGTATAGGAGCAGAGGATTTTATTACTTGAGTATCTTTTCTTATTTAATGTTTCTTATTTTATCATTTCTGTTTGAAATTGAGGCAAACAGAGTTTAAGTAACTTGCTCAGGGTCACACAACTAGTCAGTGTTTGAGATGGATTTGAATTCAGGTCTTCTTGACTCCAGGCCCAGTTCTCTATCTACCAGGCCACCCGTTAGCCCCAGGTTCCACATCTGTCTCTTCCTCTAGCCTCATAAGGTTACATCAGCAATCTGCCCCAGCAGAGGAGAGAGAAAATAAGGGGTTAATTAGAGGAAATAATTTCTGAGTGAACAGCTGGATGGACAAGGGAGTGCATGAGAATGCTTTGATGCATGTTATTTAGAGAGAACAGGCTCTAGAATAATTGACAGCTATATAGGCACATCAAAGTATTTCAAGGACAATGCAGTTTGTAGAGTTAAGCCATTTATACTTTTCCTGAATTTATAGTGTGTGCAATTCATAGGCATAATGATAATTTGTACTCACACAAAATCTTGCATCTGGTAGGATCTCAAAGCACTTTGAAGATTTTAACAAGAAAAGCACCTGCTTATTAAGACTTAAAAACAAAAAAAAATTTTCCCTTCAGCATGTTTGTTTCATGGAAAGGTTGTGATTTATAAGAGATTTATTGTGACAAGTGGGATAGTTTATGTTTGTTTTCTCATTCATAGAGTTTGGACCACAGGGGTTAAATAACTCCCCTGGGATGAGCACACTAGAAATAACAAGAGTGATTCAACAGTCCTTACTCACTGTGAAAGTACATCATCCCATAAGTGAAATTGCTATCTTAATTGTGAATTCCCACATTTGTCCTCAAATTATTCTTTTTTTAGATTCATCCCAAAGCAACATCCTATTTGTGATGAGAAGTTGTGAGACTGTATGGCAATGTTGTATGTAGACCGAATCCCTCCGAGACAAGATGGGGAAGAAAGGACAAGACACCCCCAACTCTCATAAAGTTGATATTTATTTATGGGCAATCATTGATGGTTCACATATATAAATGGGGATAATAATTAATACTTGTACTGCCTAACTCAAAGAGTTGTTATGAGGAAAGTACTTTGTAAAATGTTGAAGCACTATATAATTGTGAACTCTTAAAAATCATTTTTGCTTTTTATTAACTCCCCCACAAGCTGAACATTCTATTAAACCCAGTTCCTTGAATGCTTCCTCCCTGGTCCTGTATCTCATCTAGCCCCTCTCAGATTCTCCTAGATTTGATGTGGTTGAGGTGACTTCCCATAAAGCTCCAATTTACTTTCTGTCAGATGACCTGGGAATTGATGAACTTTCTGATCCTTTCACTGTTCAAATATCTACCATCACTCTTTGGCTACAGGACTGGGTTTTTAATGGCAGTTCTTTCCCAATAAGCCAGAGGGGCAGCAAAGTTACTGAGTGTGTATTTAGCCTGCTTCAAAGTGACTCCCTGGAGCATCTCACTGGGGCTCTTTCCCTGTTCTGTTTCTAAATTTACTAACAGGCTTACGCAGATTCCTCACCTAGCTCTGGAAACTGGGAGAATCCTTATGGTAATTCTCAGTTTTTGTAAAGGTCTTCCCTACTCTACTTATCTCTTAATGGTGTGGGCCCTTCAGAAATAAAAACCCACCAGAAATACCGTGTGGTTGGAAGCCAGGCAATGAATTCTTGCTCTGAAAGGTCTTTCAACGTTTACTTTAATAGTAATTGGGGTTTTTCCTTTCTTTGAAGGCCTTGGTACACAGGATGTGAAGTCAGAGTTATCTTCAGACTCTGCCTCTGACACTACCTGTATGGCTTTCTGCAAGTCATTAATTCTACTTGGGCTTCAGGTTTCCTCACCTGTAAAATGAGGGAATTAGATTAGATGACTTCTGATGTCCCTTTGAACCTGAGAGCTGGGTGCTAGAACAGTGGCTGGCCAAGGGACCTGGTGGCCTGTGACTCTCCTTTTATATTGCCAAGGTTCAGCTCAGGTAGACTGACCCAGGGACTGGACTTGCCCTTTTTTTCTGCAGTTATTGGGTTATGTTCCCACCTGGCTATTCCAGGGAAAGTTGCTAATTTTTCAAATGGTTGTGTGCTTGAAGTTTAAGGATTCTCCTCTTTTCCATTGCCCAAAAAGGGGAAAGTAAAGAAGGATATAAATAAAAATATATATGTATGTATGTATGTATGTATCTATGTGTAGAGCAGGTACTTTATTCCCATGAATAAAAGGGAATACTAAGCAAAAAAAAATCGTTGAATGAATGATAAGAATAGAATCAAATCACTTATCACCATTAGCACAATAAGTTGAGAGGCTAACATTCAAGCTTCATTGGGACATTTACAAAGTTTCTTCTTGAGGTCTGTGAATTAGTCATTTTACATTTCACTATCATTGGACCTAGTCCAAACAACAGGTAGCAATCATTTTTTCTTTCTAGTGACATTTCTCTCTTTCTCTCTGTCTCTCTCTCTCTGTCTCTTTGTCTCTGTCTCAGCCTCTGTTTCTGACCCCCTTTTCTGCCTGCCTGCCTCTGCTGCTGTAGCTGCCCCAACTATTACAGTAGTCATTACCCTGCTGTTCCAGTGCCTGGGAAGGGGAAGAGGCCAGCTACCTTTCCACATCTCAGGAGTCTTATATACCAAAGACACGTATAGGAGAAGTTGGCTCCATCCTGGGCACAGGCTTGCGTAAGAGGCCATGAGCTCATACCATAAAAGGGGAAGTGCATAGACCACCTGAGCCCTTGGGAAGCTCAGAATTGTCCTTGCATTTCAAAGTCAGCAAGAAGGGGAAACTTGAGAGGTAAGGATTGTCAGTTTAGTATTGTCATAGAGTACCAGCTCAGCAACCAATGAAATCATCTTTTTGTCACCAGACAGTACAAATATCGGAGTCATCATGGCCAATAGAAAGTAGTCAGAAGATATCTGTACATACTCTGAAGCGGGGATGGGGAAGTGGGGGGTGGGAAGTAGCCAGGCCTTTCCATTGCTAGTACCTTAAAGTAGGTTTCTATGCATTTGACTGGAATGTTGAGGGGAGGGAGTGGTCCACAATATGACATCCTCCAGTTGGATATATTTCTACACCAAACGTTGTGTTCTACGTTTCTTTAACCTGTTGAGATGAAATTAAAGATCGGGTGACTCCTGATCCTCCCACTCCTTGTTCCTCACTTGTAGTCTTCTACTTGGGCACTTTGGTTAAGTGAGATAGTCCTTCCCCACCTCTCCCACTTATTTCTTCTTTTTCCCCTAGTGCATTTCTTTTCCCCTCTCTCTTTTCTTCTTTTTGTTTAATTTTATTTTTCAATTAGCAAGCATTTATTTTCTCTCCTTCCTAGCACTCCAGTTAAAAAAAAAGAAAAACAAGCTCTTACAAAAATTATTCATAGCAAAGCAAAACCAATTCCCACATCATCATATCTGAAAATGTATGTCTCATTCTGATCTAGAGTCCATCACCTCTCTGTCAGGAGGTGCGTAATACAGTTCATTATTTGTCCTTTGGAATTATGGTCATTGCATTGATCAGAGTTCTTAAGTCTTTCCAAGTTGTTTGTCTTTACAATGGTGTTGTTATTGTCCTTTCTTCTTTTAAAATTGTTAAAACATCATATAACAATTTCCAGATCCTCTATCTTATTTAATGCTTATTCAACCTTTGATGACATTAGGATTCTCAGGTGACACTTATTTCTTCTCCATCTATTAGAACGCAAGCATTTCATTCTTGTATATTCCCTTCCACAGTGCTCATATGTATTTACCTTTTTATGTTTCTCTTTACTCCTGGATCTACATTTCAATATTTCTACTTTCTAGTTTTTTGGTCTGGAATGCTAGGAAGTCCTCTATTTTCATTAAGATTCCTTTTTTTTCCTTGTGGGATTATGCTCCATTTTCTTATTAAGTTATTCCCATTTGTAAGTCTATTTCTTTTGCCTTATGGAATATTGTGGTAGCTGTCAAATCTTCATCCTGACTATAGTTCTGTGGTACTTGGGAGTCTTTCTTTTTGCTGCTAGCTAACATTATTTTCTCTTTGATCTGGAAGTTCTGTATTTTTTGCTATGACATTCCTGGGAGTTTTCATTTGGGGAGTTTCTTTAAGGAGATGTGGTAAATGCTTTCTATTTTCACTTTGTCCTTTAGTTTTAAAAGGTCTGAGCAGTTTTCATTCATTTGTGATTCCTTGAAATATGGTATTTAGGGTATTTTTTTTTACCATCGTTTTCAGATTATTAGATTTTTTAAAAACTGTTTTCTAGGTCAGTTGTTTTTCATATGAGATACTTTATATTTTCTTACATTTTTTCCTGTCCTTTGATTTTTAAAAATATTTCTTATTTTTTCATGAAATCATTAGTTTCTTTCTGGTCCATTATGATTTTAAAGGAGTCCATTCTTTGGGTAAGGTTTTGTATATCTTATTCTAAACTACTGATTCTCTTTCAAAGTCTTTTTTCTGTATCTCTCATTTCTGTTTCAACTTTTTTTCCTCTAATGCTCTCATTTCTCTTACA